CAGTTACAATGAGTGTTGGTCCTGGTATACGTCCATTGACTGCTATAAAGGAACGAAACGTGTACCCATCAACACCAAATGGTTGAGTGCAGTTAGTACTATCAACAGAACTATCACAGAGAGTGTTACGGCCCATACTAGGATCATAATCAACTGGTTCCCATTCTCCATTATTAATGTGCCAGACACTGCCTGCAGTACCTCTTGAATTTCCAGTATTATCCAGCAGATATCGAGTGAACGTCTGTAGTATCTCAATATCAAACGTAAACTCGCACACATCATTAGGATTAGTAGCTGTACATTCACATACTAGAGTATTGTGATTGCAAGTAACTTCTTCAGCTCTAGTAACTAATGGACTAGCAAAGAAGATGAAAAGGGAAGAGACTGTGAGGATCCTTTGTAGAGACATTCTAGCTGTTCCAAAGAATGAATGCAAGTGTAATAGTGTAGGCTGCTTCCTTTTATAAAAATCTTAAATTCCTTTAGTGTATGGTTTGAGGGTGGTAATTGTGGTGTTACCCTAAAGAAACTCCCTCTCCTACATGTTATTATTGCTACATTATAATTAACTTATCTAATTGGATAGATAATTGTATTGTGTAGTACATACTGATGATGTTTACTTTCACTTCTTGTTTCTCACACATTCATATATTAAGTTATGATAGGAGAAAGAATAAATTTGCATGTACAAGCTTTGGTCACTACAGAAGTAATTTCTCCTGGGCCATGATACTAATGGTATAACATAGTCAATTGAAGCACATAAATACCACTATACACAGAGGAAGAGGAAGGAAGAGTTTGTGAATGAGTGGGAGTGAATACACACCTTCAGTTATCTTATATCTACCTTTATGCCCACCTCTTCTTTGAGGTCATACTATACTAGTTAGTTTAATGTACATATTATACTGCTATCAACAATAGCATACCTTCCTACAACAGTTAAGGTGGGTTTACAATATTGCAATAGGCTTGACGTTACATTGATGCTGGAATAGAATTTGGTGCATCAAAAGGTCAAATCACCTACTCTTTTGATTCAAAATTGATGGTACACTGGCCTAATGTCATATTGTGAACCAGCCTTTAGGCCTAATGGTCATTAATGCTTTCTACCTCTTGTGTGCTTGTACAATACTACAGAGTCTTTAATATATAAGTGGTGTTTATGTTTAACAGGTGTCTCGTGTAGACTGCTAAGTACTATAATCAAATTTATAATAATAACTGCTCTCCTACATCATTCCAATCTTAAGTGTACTCTGCTAAATGATGCATAATAGTCTTGTTCCATATCAGAGACACCTGTTATGTGGTGCAATGTTACTAATAATTTGTGTGGTCCAATGGTGGACCTGGTGTAAATCAGACTATATTAAATACTGTACATCAGACTATAATATACACTGTGTTTATGGATATGATGACATATTAAATGTACATGTACATGTATAGTATTTGTTTACATGTAGCAGTAAGTAGTAACCAATGAGACTGTAAGGGCTTTGTCACTTACCATGCCCTGACATGTGTGTACACTGTACAGACATACAACCTTTTAAAGTTGTTTATCTTTTAGCAAATGGTAGAATATAATGTGTTCATAAATAATAAATTTTGTGTACAGAAACTTTATGAAGATATACTTTTAACTAAATTTTTTAATGTCCCAGCTAATTGGTTGTGAATAGCAACTGATTGTTCATACACATAATGTTTTTCAGTTGCTTCACAGCATTAGTACAATGTACGTAGCTAATGTTAGTATACATTGTGGGTGGATATCAATACAGTAACTCAGTATAATTAGATTATAGTGAACACGCACACACACACACACACATTTAGATAGTAACACTATCAATTGTAATTATTAAAGTGTGTGTCCATAAGCAGTGTTATGTTCAATACCAATGATATGTTCTTGTTGTTCAGTTGGTACATGATATATTGGTTCATCTATAATACCATTGTCTACTGGTGACCTTTCTCTTATTGTATTCCCTTTATTCTTCATTATACAGTATACAATGATACTAGTAATTATTGATGCAATGAGTCCAGTTAATAGACCAGTGATAGGTACTGCAATAGCAACTGAATGTGTGTGTATAATAGATACATTAGATATGTACATACATTAATGTATTAACTAACCAGAACTGATGATGGATCCTGTACATGTTGATTGTGATACTGTTATGACAGAAGTACAGCCTAATAAATATAATAGTAATACCATTATAATATAACTAATAATTTTAAAAGAGGGGTAATTTTTGGGTCAATTTGCTGACTACTTGATGGGCATTTACTCACACAATTATTTATTTTTAAAATGGTCACTATCTATTATACATTCAGCAATTGATCAGTCAGATAATGTGTCATTTTATAATTAAAAACCAGATGATATTTTTCATAAATGGCTATAACTTGGTATTTTAAAAGTATTAATAATTTTTACTGATTTATTTTGTGACAACAGAGTTAAAACAAAAAATTTAAGTCGGAATCAGCTCAAACTTTCTATACAGCATAAGGACATTAATATGTATCAGAAAATGTAATAAAAATTAGAGGTGATTTCGGAGCCATTTTTTGAAAAAACCATGGGCTATATATAGCCTTGGGTATTTTTCAGATTTTTGGCGTTTTCTCAAAATGGTCGTAACTTTAAAAATTGAAGTCGGAATCAGCTCAAACTTTCTAGACAGCATAAGGACATTAATATGTATCAGAAAATGTAATAAAAACTTGGCATGATTTCGAAGCCATTTTTTGGATGAAACCATGGGCTATATATAGCCTTGGGTATTTTTTAGATTTTTGGTGTTTTCTTAAAATGGCCGTAACTTGAAAAATTAAAGTCAGAATCAACTTAAACTTTCTACACAGCATAAAGACATCAATATGTATAAAAAAATGTAATAAAAATTTTGGGTGATTTTGGAGCCATTTTTTGGATAAAACCATGGGCTATAGCCTTGGGTATTTTTTAGATTTTTGGTGTTTTCTTAAAATGGCCGTAACTTGAAAAATTTAAGTCAAAATCAACTCAAACTTTCTACACAGCATAAGGACATCAATATGTATCAAAAAATTTAATAAAAATTTGGGGTGATTTTGGAGCCATTTTTTGAATAAAACCATGGGCTATAGCCTTGGGTATTTTTTAGATTTTTGGTGTTTTCTTAAAATGGCCGTAACTTTAAAAATTTAAGTCAAAATCAACTCAAACTTTCTACACAGCATAAGGACATCAATATGTATCAAAAAATTTAATAAAAATTTGGGGTGATTTTGGAGCCATTTTTTTGGATAAAACCATGGGCTATATAGCCTTGGGTATTTTTCAAAATTTGGTCGTTTTTAAAAATTGGCATTAACTTGAAAAATTTAAGTCGGAATCAACTCAAACTTCCTACATAGCAACATCAATATGCATCAGAAAATTTAATAAAATTTTGCAGCAATTATAGAGCCATTTTTAGAATAATATCCTATAGCTGCTTTATTTTGTGGCCTAAAATTTTCCTTGTACATTATTTATTCTTAATTACAACTAATAGCCACACATTCAATACCTTCTCCAAATTGATTGCTATATTGTGTATATATACAGTAACTTACATTCAGAACAGTTATCCTCTGTATTTGTTAGCAGTTGTGTCATTATTGTCATTGAAGGTAATGGTATTGTTGAATATTCAGAACTAATGAACTGAGTTATGTCATAATCATCAATACTTGAGTCACTGCTCATCAGTATAGGACTGGATCCAGTAGTATCAATACTGACTATTAATGATAATAATAATAAAATTAATATAGTTCTCATTGTTATAAGTTTCATGTGTACTAGATGCTCATAAGTTTGTATCACAAAATAATTTGTTGTCAAAAGTTTAGTATATGAAAGTTTATTTTAGCACTCTACCATGCAGCCATACCTAGTAGTGTCACCTACCAGATAATGATGAAAATACCAAATCAGTTGAACTGGTTGTTAATGTTGAAGTATGCTGCTCAGTTCTGATAACTGTAGATATGAAACATAGCTACATTCAAAAAGAAGTATTGATTATTAATAAATAAACCTGTAATGTCATCCTGTGGTCCCTCTCCAATAGCATTAACTGGTTTTATGTATACAGTATATTCATTATTGGGATATAGTCCATTAATAGTTACATTAGTATCAGTTGTATTAATAGTAATATTGTGTACACTAACAATGTAATGTACTGGAGGATAATGTGGTGTAACATCCTATTAATAATAATAATGATTTATAGTTAATAATATCTTAACATACTTCAGTGTTATTCCACCATATTGTAATACTATCAGTTGATATCTGATCCCAACTAATATTAACAACTTGAGCTGGTACTATAAGAAATACAATGAGTGTGTGTGTGTATAGTACTTACCATTCCATATATACTGTATTAATGATGAAGGAGGTCCTTCTCTTCCAATAGTATCAATAGGAATGATAATAAATGAATAATTAGTACCAATAATAAGAGAAGGAATAGTTGCTGATGATTCATTACTGATCATATGTCCATTAATATTATCATCACTGATTATTGTAATATTATAATATTGAATACAGTGTACTTCATCATTCTTTTCATAGTACCAGTTCATCAATACTGTATTGTTATTAATTGGTATTATCTTTATATTAATAACCGATACTGGTACACCTATACATAGATACAGTATTATGATACATATGGTTCATGACGTATCTTACCTGCAATATGTACTGTTAATGTACTGTAGCTAACTCCATCTCCAGAGCAGTCAATAACAGTTCCATTAAGTTGTGATTTAACAGACTTTCTTGTAGCAAAACTTACTACTGTTGCTGTATTATAATTAATATCAGTAATTTTTATTATAAAGCCATTTAAAAGTTTAGAATTTTTATCTGTTAGGACACGGTTTGCGTTGTTGATTCTCCATGCAAGTGTTCCCCCTTGATAGCTAGTAATACAAGTGAATACTAGTGTATCTCCAGGACATACAATATCATATGATGGAGAGGACTGGCTGAATGATAACACTGCAGTTGATGATGTTACTATAAATGATCAATAATTAACAACATAGCTATTAATGAAACTTACTATAAACACTGCTTGACAACAAAATAAAGAATATGATAATCATCTTCAAAAGTCAGCAACACCTTCATACATTAAACACACAAAGCACTTGTGAAACACTTCACTTTGTTATCATTTAGGAATTACTTGTTATTCCTTATATTGTATGAGGTATTGATTGATACTCTCCTGCTATGAATAATGCATGCTATTATCATCAATTTAAAAATTTTATTTAATTAGAAACACAGAATTAGTAGTTATACTGGTTTAATGATACTGAAAACTAGTTGTATACAGTATAAACGGATTTATTATAATACATTGCTGCCATAATACTTGGAAATGCTCGTTCCTATGCATTTTGCAATAATTATTTTAAAAATAAAATAATACTATATTATGTATTTAGTATTTACATACTGTTTTTTGCTTATAAATTAACAAATACATTACAAATATTATTAATTGACTCCTACTCACTATGTTATTATTAAAATGAGACTTTATTATTTTATTATTTCCAATTGTCATTCCCAGTTCACTTATTGTTTTGTATACCAATGTGGTTTTCATCACTTTCTTGAGAAAACAATGAAACATTCCAAAATGAAAATTAATTAGTTAAAGCTGGATATGGACTATATACAATGTAGACCCATTTTATGCATAATTATCTCATAATTACTAGGTCATTTGGTATAATGACTCAAATTTTTGCACAGAATATTTCCAAGTTGTAGAAGAACATCTGTTGTCCAAAAATTTGAAGAATGTAATGCATACTTACCCGGTAGTCATCAATAGTTTGTTACGCTGTACTCAGAATTAAGTCCTATTTATGCATTCATATGTCTGCTTCTACTGGTAGAGAAATGAGGTTTCTTTCTTCTCTTTTGTTTGCTTATTGCCTCTGTCTTTCTTTTGTTTCTTCTCAAGGTGTGTTGAAATTGACAAAATTGTTATATCTCTCACAGCTAATGTATCTGCTAACTTCCTTTAGCATCATTTACAATATAAACTTTTGTCAATGATGGCATGAGATCCTCTAGAAAGTTGATAATTATTATTAGGTTTTTTATGTAAACAAGCATGTTTATTCTGCCTTATGCCCAACATCCTGAAAAATTATTAGTGCTACCCCAGTCAACCTTTCCTTGCTTTACTTTGATCTGTCTAATCTTTTATTATTAGTTACATTATTGCCAAATGATACAGTTTCTGTATGTGAAGGAGAAATACAAGCAATAACGTGTAATGTGACTGGATCTGTACTTATATGGGATGATGGAAATAATTCCACCAGCTTCAGTAGTGGAAACACTATACCAGCAGAATTAGGGCCATTCCATTTAGTATTACTATCTCATAATAATGGCACAGTGGTTTCAGTTGCAACTGTTAATGTTTCTACATCAATAAATGAGAGTACCCTTGAGTGTAGAAATACAGGATTTAAAAACTCCAGTATAAGGCAACAAATCAGCTTTAATGTTAAACGTAAGTAGGGTTGAGACTACTTTAGATTAATACTGAGTATGCCATATTCAAAACATTACATATGACCATTGTTAATACTATTTCTAAGATATTCAATAGTAGCCTATACTCTAGAATGCTAACTGTACATGCAAGCATGTACCAAAAGCTTCTGTGTTTACATGATGTAGCTTAGAGGTCCCAGAGAGAGGGAGTGTTGGGAAGGAATGTGAGTACATAACATAGCTCATTAATCAATTTATATTGGCATTCCAATTAAAGGTGCGGTGCGGCTTATGATAGCTATACTATCAAGAGATGCATGTTAGGCATCTATTAGTGATGCATCAAAAGACATGTACTAAAAATTGAATATTTATTTTTTGCCCTATTATAGATTCAGTACCTATGACTTATTTTAAAGTTGATGCTGTATCATCAGATACATTATTAATATCTTGGGCTGGAGCTGATTGTATACAATCATATGATGTATTCACTAATGGAACTAATGTTAATACTACCAGTGGAATGAGTCTATTGTATAATACTGGAGGAGCTATTGGCAGTATTGATGTATTGGTTAATAGTGTTGATTATTATGGGAGTGCAGTGGGTAACTTATCAATTCAATATCAATTTAACAGTGAGTGATTTTACACCTTAAATTATGCATCATTAATCTATTCCTATTGATAATGTTATGATAAGCTACAGTTGTGTACTAACTTGGCGTGTTCTATTTTTAACAATCACGATTCTATTTTTAGAATATGACTTTGAAGTTGAGGCTATTATTAGTGACAATATGTCACTGGTCATAATAATTAAGGTAATATTGTTAATTTTTGTTATATTGATATTAATAATTTTTATACATGGCAATTAAAGTATCAATAGAAATTACAGTATTATCTTCTGCTTTATAGAAGCTTGAGCTGATTCAAACTTAAATTTTTCAAGTTACGGCCATTTTTGAAAAATATCCAAGGCTATATAGCCCATGGTTTTTTTTCCAAAAAATGCCTTCGAAATCACTCCAATTTTTTACATTTTGTGATACATATTGATGTACTTATGCCATGCAGCATTAAAAACTTGCCAATTGTTATATTTTATAGGATAATTATATTAATCAACAGCCTGCCCCATTGTCCTGTGAATTGACAGTGGCTAACTTAACTCAGTCATCAGTGGACTGTCTCTCTAAAAGATTGTTTGTATTCACTAATGTCACTGAAGGAGTTGTGTATAATTATACTGTTACTATTACTAATGTCGTTGAGTCTGCTGTTAAGAATGGTTCCATAGGTACATAATCAGTGTATTGATTCAACTTATTTTTTATAATTTTATTGAAAAATAGCAGCATTTTGTCAAGCTATACTTATATTGAAAATAATTTAATGTATAATTTATTTAAACTTGCAGTACTAGAACAAACATGTCCATCACAAACTCGATATTTCTGTTCAACTTTGCTGGCATCTGATTTTCAAGAGTCTTGTATTACATCAAGTCAGTATTATATAGTCTACTACTGGAATTATATTATTTTGTGCTTCTAAACTTGCAGTCTTTAATTAAGTAATATTGTACTATAATGTGAAGCCCCCCAAATACATAAATATTAGGATCTGGTTTTTTTAATTCTTGCTCATAATAGGATGTAATATTATGTTATTTTACTATTATTTACTTATTGCATGTTGTTTTTGATGCTAGTATCATAATTCATTATTTATTATTATTATTATTAGCTACAAGTCAAAGTACTAGTCCATCACAAACTAATACTAATGAATCCGGTGGATCGAATTGTGTCATTCCTTGGATAGTTGGTTTGATAACTGGGACAGTAGTGGTTTCACTTTTGATTTAGCTTTTACTTCAAAGGTAAAAATAATAATGAAATCTTTTTTTTTCATTATAAGCACCGGTCATGTAGACTTACAACATTGTGTGCTACAAGAAGTATATTGTCTCCCTGAGTAGAAAATATTAGTGTTGTAATAGCTCCTCATTCATATCAATTCTATTAATAACTTAGACATTTCATTAGCTATACATATACAGTGTGTATATCAATTTAGTTTTCCTTTTTGATAGTCAATTTAGTTAAACAACAAAACTTACTGTCTATTTCAATATAATCACACAAAAAATCAATCACTACTTGTACATTGAACACATTTAAACATGAAGATAAGTGTATGCATGTTGCTCAATGTATAGCAAGTGACAGTTGCTGTATCATTCATTATACATACACTGTTCCTTGAGGCAACTAAATACCTTACTGGTACAAAAGATGTAGTGAACACACACACACACACACATGGATAGCAACACTATCAGTTATAGATGTGTCCATAGGCATTGTTAAGTTTAGTATCAATGACTTGTTCTTGTTGTTCATTGTTGATAGTTGGTAAATCATATATTGGACCAATGTCTACTGGTGATCTTTCTCTTAGTGTATTCCCTTTATTCTTCATTATACAGTATACAATGATACTAGTAATTATTGATGTAATGAGTCCAGTTAATAGACCAGTGATAGGTACTGCAATAGCAACTGAATGTGTGTGTATAATAGATACATTAGATATGTAGATACATTAATGTATTAACTAACCAGAACTGATGATGGATCCTGTACATGTTGATTGTGATACTGTTATGATAGAAGTACAGCCTAATAAATATAATATAGTAATACCATTATATAACTAATAATTTGAAGGAGAAACTTTTAGGTGAATTTAACTACTTGATAGACTTTATACTACCACAATTATTTATTCTTAAAATGGTCACTAACTTTTATGCATTTAGCAGTTGACCAGTGAAAATGCATTTTTAAGAAATGGCTATAACTTGAAAATTTTAGTTGGAATCAGCTCGAAATTTCTACACAGCATAAGGACGTCAATATGTATCAGAAAATTTAATAAAAATTTGAGATAATTTTTGAGCCATTTTTTGGAAAAAACCATGATTTATAGCCTTGGGTATTTTTTAGAATTTTGGCGTATTCTTGAAATGGCCTTAACTCGAAAAATTTAAGTCGGAATCAGCTCAAACTTTCTACACAGCATAAGTGCATCTATATGTATAAAAAAATTAAATAAAAATTTGAGGTAATTTTTGAGCCATTTTTTGAGAAAACTATGAGCATAGCCTTGGGTATTTTTCAGAATTTTGGCATTTTTTAAAAATGGCCGTAACTTAAAAAATTGAAGTCAGAATTAGCTCAAACTTGCTACACAGCATAAGGACACCAATATGTATCAGAAAATGTAATAAAAATTTAGGGTCTTTTCGGAGCCAATTTTTGGAAAAAACCATGGGCTATAGCCTTGGGTATTTTTTAGAATTTTGATGTTTTTTAAAATGGCCATAACTTGAAAAACTTAAGTCGGAATCAACTCAAACTTTCTAAACAGCTTAAGGACATCAATATGTATCAAAAAATGTAATAAAAATTTGGGGTAAATTTGGAGCCATTTTTTGGATAAAACCATGGGCTATAGCCATAGGTATTTTTCAGAGTTTTGGCGTTTTCTTAAAATGGCCATAACTTGAAAAATTGAAGTCGAAATCAGCTCAAACTTTCTACACAGCGTAAGTACATCAATATGTATCAGAAACATTAATAAAAATAATGTATATAGTACAGGAAAATTGGCATAATAGCTTCATTAATTTTTGCACAGTTAATGTATAACTTATTTCAATGACTTTACATGATTTAGAATCACTATACCAACTTGGTACCATTGATAGTTCTATGCTACTTGAAGACAATAATTTATCATCAATGATCATCATAGATATTGATATTGAGTCATCGCTGCTACTGGTGGTAGCATCAGATGAACTTTCTGTAGCT